CTTAAGCATAATAGTCATAAAAATGTCCATAGACATTTTGAGGTGGAAAGTTCACAAGTGAGGGTTTTTTTGCGGTACGCGGGCCTCTCACTGCTGTGGCCTCTCCCGCCGCGGAGCACAGGCTCCGGACGCGCAGGCCCAGCGGCCATGGCCCACGGGCCCAGCTGCTCCGCGGCACGTGGGATCCTCCCGGACCGGGGCACGAACCGGCGTTCCCCGCATCAGCAGGCGGACTCCCACCCGCTGCGCCACCAGGGAAGCCCCGAAGTGAGTTTTGATGCATATTTTATATTGTTTTCTACATCTTGTGTCTCCAGCACAGGAAGTCTTATTTTCCTTTTTATTCCCAGTACTTCCCACTTTGCCTGCCACATGGTGGGCAATAAATAGCTGTTGAAAGAATGAAGCAAAAAGAAAAGAACAAATGTACAAATTTATACCCTGAAGCCTTCTTTTTCTCTGTGCTCTCTGAAATAACCCCGCTGGGAGGCAGCACGTGACTTTAACAACAGATTTTAAAAAATAAGAGAGGGTCATGCTTAAATGATTCCATTCAAAATACGGTAGTTCCAGGCATTTCACAGTTACAAATCGAAGAAAGAGGTGATAGTGTGACCTTCTTAAGCTGCTAAATGAATGGCTTCAAGGCTAGCTATCTATTCAAACATTATCTCTTACTGCAGCTTAAAACATCTAAGGCATAATGGCAGTGAAAATGTCTGGAAATGAATTCTTAATAATAATTAGATGGTATTATGGCTGGTGAGATTTAATTGACATTGTTTCTATCTCCAACCATCATGACAATAAGACATGCCTTGTACTTATTCTGTGTAATTCAAGGAATGGTCAGCATGCAAATTTGTAAGATGTTTTCAGGAAAACTGAATTTCATGAAAAATAAACATATTCCAACTCCCTAGCTAATTTTTTTGGCTCTTTTCTGCATAATCATAACACAGGCTGTTGGGTTAGCATGGGACACAATGTAAGAGAGTTACTTTTGTTATTGTGTACCAATTTCATGCAGCTATCTCCACAACCAGGCTAATTTCAAGTCTGTCCTGAGCAATGGTACATGTGATTCCAAGTATTAATGGAAATTTATATTGGTTACAAATTGTTACTCTTCTCTCTAGAATAGTATTAGTTCATTTGTTCACTGTTTTCACCAGCAGTTTACACCAGACTTTCAGTTTTCCTGCTTTTACTTTTAAACTACCTTCCTGCCTAAAACTTTACAATTCCTTTGGGCACATTTTGCCAGTTGAAATCCTTTTCTTCCATAAATGCCAACAAGCTGATGAAACACATAGACAGCAAGAACATTTTTCACATTTAAAAAAATCAACTACAGCGTTCCATTCGCAGTGAGATCATGTATCTAAGAAGGATTATTATTATAAACTAGGGAAGGCCTGGTCATAGGCAACAGAAACTCATCCACGTGTAATGTGAAATATACCCAATAAATTTGTTGTGCTGTGAATACAGCACTGGTAATTAAAATTATAAATTTGCTCTTTGAAGCAGCTCACATTTTTATGTTTAAAAATTTCAAAGGGCTTGAATAAAGCTGTTTATCAATAGAAAATATGTACATGTTTTTCTAAGTCAGTATTCTGAACTGACATTGGTAATTGCAAGCATTTTTAATATTTTGTGTCTTCTTTTTGTCTTTTTTCATGCAATATATATTGTATTTTTTCTGTTCAACTTACTCTCTTTTCTCTCTCCCTTCTTCCGAGGCATCTCATTCTAATATAGGAACTATCAGATATCAGTTTCAAAAAATACCATAAATAGGGTTTTTAAAAAAGTAAAATTTTTCTATAACTTACATGAAATTATAGTCTTGGTTGATACATGGTCAGATTTCCAATGTACAGAAATCAATAGACTAACCAAATATTTTCCTTCTGCATGATAAGGGAAGCCAGGTTAATATATCTGAAATATCTGAAATCTCACTCCCCAAAGCCCCGTCTCTTCCACAAAATTAACTCCAAGTTTTGTGCTCTATTACTTGCAGCATCCCACTTCCAAACTCTGTATCAGTTAAAATTTGTATCAGTTTTATCTAATGCTTCTTATAAAAATCTTTTTATAAAAAATAAAAACAGTGGCTTAAACAAAATAGAAATATATTTTCTCTTACATAAAAGAAGTCTAGAAGGACTAGTCTTCTAGCTTCTGATCTACAATCCATAACGTCATCTCAAGATCCAAGATAGCTGCTGAGCTCTTGCCATCATATCCATGGTCCAGTCATGAACAGGCCCCTGCTGGTTGACTTGGTTGAATTCTCTCAGAATTTTCACCCATAACTTCCACTTACATCTTATTGGCTCATAAGCCACATGGCCCCAGTAGCACTAAAGAGTCCAAGCATTTGTCTTCAATTTGGAGAGAAATATTCCCACAAACTTCTGGTACTGCTACCAAGGAAGAAGAGAACATTGGAAAGCAAATGAGTCCCTGCCACAATGGTCATTATAGTTTTCTTTATAATGATGGAATATTGAAAACAACCTAAATGGCCTGTTTAACTAAAATGCAGTATGTTCATAAATTAAATACTGTCTTGATATTTAAAACATGGATGCAGATTACTATTTATTGACATAGTTATCTGCTATATATTTCTGAGTGAAAAAAAAACGGCATCTATAGTAGATCCCATATGTAAAATCATGTCTGAAAAGTTTTTTTAACATTAAGAGTGGTTAGATAATCACTGAGGTTAGTAATTTTTTGTGTAACTTTACTTTGTTCTTTATACTTTCCTGTACACTTTGAAATTTTTACAATGAGCATACACGGTTTACAGATTGCTGTAGAAATAAAAAGGCACTGTAGAAATCACCTTCAGTATTTCAAAAAAAAAGTCACTCTAAAGAACTTTCTATTTGCACATCAATCTTCAGCCAATGGGGTTTTGAAGCTGCCCTTATGACAGTTACCAATATCATACTGATAATATTACAAACGGCACTGGATATCATTTTTTTAGTAACATGGCAATAACAAAGCAATAGTATCCAAAGCAAAAAATCATTACTTGCTTTTTTGTGTTAGACTTCTAACTCTGCTAATTTGAGTTTTATACAAACTCTACTTCTCCTTCTATGAGTTTTTAATATGGCGTTTAGTAGAAAAGAAATAGGGTTTTATATCTTCTTATGTTTGTGCAAGTAACTTTTAATTGCAGCAATTATTTCAGGTAGTCATTGCCCCTATTTCCATTCTATCAGGTATGACCATATATGAAACTTTGTTACAGAGGTAAATAGAGTATTTGAAATCTAAGTCGGCCTTTCGTATGTGTGTGCAGTTAAGCACTTTGCCAGTTCCCTTTATCGCTGAAATGGGCAGAATAATGACTCTTTTACTTCCTTAAAGGGGGTATTTTAAAGATAAAATGAGACAATTGATGGAAAATATTTTGCAGAAAAAAAGTAGCATATACAGTATTGGGGCAGCCTGGCTTATCTTAAAATCAAGGGGCTTATGTGCATCATTGGTTTTTCTAAGCAGAAGTTACCATCTTTGGCACTGCTCACAACACCTGCAGCCAACGCGGCTAAATAGGTTGGTTGCTACTTCAAAGGGCAGCAGAAAATTGAGGAAAGCAGGTGTTATAAGAATGGAGACTAACTCACTAATCCAGAAATCCATTGTGGAAAAGCAGCCGTAATGTCTTACATCACTTTCTTGGGCTGGGTGGGTAAACCTTAATTTATTGTTTAAAGTGTATTAAATGATTTTAAAAATATAATATCCATGATTTTCTTAAAATAGCAATTTGCAGGAAGCTCACTAACTCCCAACAGCTCAGAACTAAGTATTTAAAACTCCTTGCAGAGAGAAAATAAAGTCCCCAAAGATTAAGAACAAATATCTCATTCTCATTTAATTAAAGAAAACACTTAGCCTGCTTATAAAAGTAATCACTCTGAAAACACACACACACACTCACACACACACACACTGTTATATCATCTCCTTTGAAATATCTGTCTTAACCTCCGTTTCACAGGTGGAGAGAACTGGGGTAGAGATCTGAGACTGCCATTAGTGACAGCTGAATTTTCTCTGATTAAGTAGTGCTGGAGGGACTTTAGGGGTTACTCTTCATTTGAGTCTCCTGTTCAGCACCTGGATAAGCTTATATTGCCTTGGTAACCAAGCCAAAACCCTTTCCTAATGTTGAAAAGGGTGATTGATGCTTATTGATTACTATAGTTTGGGTGAATTGCGGTTCCTCTCATCATGTAGATGAGTTTCTCGTTTTTCTTTTTTCTCCTAAAGGGATTTTGTGAGGTACATTTAATAGTAAACTCCTTATAATCTCCCATGTATGTAAAGAGCTTGTTGCCCAACATTTTAAGCTTCCTCACATAATCCCCAGTCCCTTTTTTGAGTTCTGTCCACTTTGAGGAGAGACTTTTGCACCTGCAGTAGAGATGCAATTGACAATAGCTTTTGAAACGTGTACAGTCGGCCCTCGGTATCTGCTGAGCATTGGTTCCGGGAGCCCCCCATGGACACCAAAAGCAGTGGATGCTCAAGTCCCTTATATAAAATGGCGCAGTGCAGTTGGTCCTCCATATCCATGGGTTCCGCATCCGCGGATTTAACCAACTGAAATACGTGACTGGGTGAATCCCTGGATGCGAAGGGCTGACTGTACATACTCCATTAGCCCACAGATGGAACAACCCGTGAATACTTTCGTGTTAATCAAATGCCCCAGGCACTGCACTGGGCTTCAACCACTATATTGAGACCTGCTCCAAGTGACTTCTCTACACTGGTAATATTTCCATCTCTAAAATGTTTTAGACTTTAAATGTATTACCAGGATATTTACAGGGGACTTGCTTGAAATATTTTTAGAGAAAATATAAAACTTCTGTCACATCTTTGCTAAGAGCAACATGGTGTTTTGCTATTATTGTTATAGTAACTGTTGAAATTTGTTTTCTCCTTGCTTTTAGCTCTCTGAGTACAGTGTCTTATATGGATGAACCTAGCCAGCATGAAGATGCCTCTCACCTCGCAGTTCAGATGGAAAACACCTACCAACTGGGTGTGTTATTTTATCACTCCATCCTGTTTAAGACTTCTAATTTTATGGGTGATATTTACTTAAAATAATATCTGATAACCTGGCATTATCTTCAATGCTAGCACAATATAAGGGATCTTAATTAATTGGGTGATCTGGTATTGCTTTAATTTCTTCCTCTGCAAAGTGGGACCAGTATCCATTGCCTACTTTTCTTTATCAGTATTTTCTAAATACCAAGCAAGTCACTGGGCGGCACTGAGGTGTAGTTGTATTACTGAATTAAGGAGTTCATTGGGTATTTCTTGTGGAGTTTTTTATATCTACTTGAGTTAAATGAAAGAGATATGCACTATAGTTTTATCAAACAAAACCAACCAAGGTTGCTGATGGGTGGAGAAAAAAGCCTTAAGACAAAGGCAAATGATTCCTGGTCCCCTGTTGACAGAGATGTTTATCTTTTCCCGCAGAGGTTTTGGGTCTTTGAAAACAAAAATCTTTGCACCTGCCCCTATACTCCAGGTGGAGTCCACAGTGACTATCATTCCCCATTCACATTTCTTCATAGAACTACTTGCTTTCTCTAAATGAGTACCTTCCCACTATTATCTGGATCCACATATAATTACTGCTGTATAGAAATTCTGCAGAGACTTACCAGTGACCAAAGGAAGACTCCATGGGCCAGAGTGGTTTCATCTGTGGTCAGTTAACCTCAGGAAAATTATAGACCATCAGCACATCCCATTAGGCCTTCTAGCCAGTTTTCTACAGTAATCCCCAAGATGACATGGAGTATAAGGCTCCATAATTAGTCTGTCTACTGGTATTTTCACAGTGCCTATGGTAGACAACTAATATTCCTGCCAACCAAGATACATTTATACTCCTTCTGGTAGCCTGACCCAGTTTCCTTTGGGGGAGCCCGACCACTGCCATCATTATCACTTTTGGTCCATAGCATCCTCCTGAAGCTGACACTGGCTTCAGAGATGTAACAGTGACTGATTTGGGGATTTGGTCAAGGCCGTCAAAGCCTTTGAGGTTCAATTCAGAAAATGTTGTTTGGGCTGTTGAAGAAGCAGTTCATATCCTGAAACTGGAAAGAATAAGGGCTTATGGCAGCTTTGGCCATCTTGCCCTCACATGAGGCCTGAGACCACGACATACATCCAGCTGTGTACTCTTAGACTTTTCAGTTAGGCAAAGTAAGCTTGGGTCAGGTCTTCCTGTAACTAAAAGAGCTTTGCCATTCGGTGCCTATGACTCTGGGCTCTGCATGCTAGAAGGCTTTGAATCTGATTTTCACAAGATAAAGCATTTGAAATATGAAGCCCTGTGTTTCTTCTTCAAAAGGATCTATTTTCATAACATTTCTCCAAATAAACTAAACTGTCTAATCAGTTTTAGAAGTACTGAGTGTTGAAGCAAGTTAGAAAAGTAATTTTAGAAATAGCTTAGTATAAAGTATTTTCCATATTTTCTTTCAGAAAGTCATGTGAATTATTCTTTTGTGATTAAAGTCTTTTATACATGACAATCCATTTTTAAAGCATTTAACTAGCTATTTTGTTAATAATCAAAAATGTATTTCTACTTCCACTTGTTTCTGGGTTTATTTTGCATCTGAAAGAAGGTAGTCTGTGGGCCTTTGGCAAAGATTTTCTCCTATCTATACAATGAATACTGACCAGAAGAGTGAGGAAAAATTCAATCACCAGTATCACTGTGTTTACTTTTTCACATGCATCATGTAAACACATCTTAAATGTTTAGCATGTTTGTCCTCCCTTTATCTAAGTAATTACAGCCACCAAGAATGAGATAGATCATAATTTTTAAAAAGGGGGAATGGAAGAATGAAAACATATTTCTTATAATAAAAGCCACTTACCTCTTCCCATTAATTAATTACTGAAACATGAGTACAGAAGAAAAGACGAGCTGTAGGGTCCAATGTATATGAATCTGAACACTCATTTTGCCTATTCCTAAATAAATGATGTTTGAGCAAGGGACTCAGCATCCTTGAATCTCAGTTTCTTCATCTGCAAGTAGGGATAATAGTCCACACATCTAGGGATACTGTGAGAATTAAATGAACTATTGTATTTAAATTGCTTCCCCATTCAGTATGTTATTGCTTCTCAAACTGACTGACTCTAGGTCTTCACCTTAGATCACTAAGAAGAAAAGCCTTCTATGATATCCAACATAATTTCCTATTAAGTATGGAATGAGTTCTCCACAGGACTTTTTCTGGAGCAATGACTATAGAGGTACCTGATTTTTTAAAAACACTGTGAGCACCACGTCACACAAGGGCTATAGAGGGCCATCTTTGCTGCCACATCGAGACAGTCCACCTGAAGCCAATTATTGAAAAATAGAATCTAAAGACAGAGAGAGAGACATCGTTTGAACTCAACTCCCGTGAGATGAGCAGGCCCTGTCACCAGAGGCTTTGTTGGACAGAGTCTGCCAGTCTCTCAGTGCTGACTTTGCTCCACCCTACAGAGTCCTTCCCGCCTGTGGAGGCCTCACTACATCCCTCCTTTATACTGTTGCCCATCTTGCTGCCTTCTCAGCAAGAGCAATCCCTGTCTCTTTGCTCAGAATAAGGTAGCAACAATAACAGCTACAACACTCTTAAATAACAAAGTTCTAATGAGTGGCTTTTTTGTGTGGCAGGCACTGTTCTGAGCATTTTAAATACTTCGTCTCATTTAATCCCAACAAAAAACAATATGTGATCATTCTTATCACTATCCCTATTTGGGAAGCTAAGACACAGATATATTAAATAACCAAATTTTTATCTATTCTCTCTTAAATCTATTTTTATGGACAAGTTTCTCTTTCTTTTTTTTTTTCCATCCTGATACTTCTTCAGATCTTTGCTTTTTGATTTCTAAAGACATTTTTTCCTCCTAAAGAAAAAAATTTTCTCTAAAAAAAGGAAATGAAAAAAAGCTTAGGCATTCACATTAGTTGATTCTGAAAGCTTCAGGAGCTTGTTTTGGAAGTCAAATGCTGAATATTGACTCTCTCTCTTTGCCTCTCAGCATCCCAGCCTGAGTAAGGCAATAGATAATTCTGGCTGTATAGGGCCAAGGTCACAAAGAAGTGAGAAAAGAAAAGTTTACTACCATATTTTAAATTCTTTTCAGAATAGAATCTCATTAATGAGATTAAAAAGACAAACCTGAGCAAAGTGCAGAAAGGGCATTGGTGCAGCTGGACAGTGGGAGCTGAGACTCAGGTGCCCCCAGGATTCCATCTTTCCAGCCCTAAACTGTGTGAGGCTCCCTCTCTCACCGTGGCCTGGCTGCCTTCCCACTATGAGAAACAGCCTCCAGCAGTTCCTTAGAGTCACATGTCATAACTTTTAACACCAAAAAGAGACTGACTTTTTTTTTTTTTTCCTAGCTCCAATTTAAAATAAAAATTCCAAGAAAGGACTCTAATTGGCCTGGCTTGGGGCAAGTCCATCAAGGGCCAATCAACCATGATCTGGACTTGGGCTCAAAGAAAATGATGGTAGAGCCTAAAGAACCACTTGTTTAGAGTGGGAAGAGGACCAGTTCCTTCCATTTGGGGGATGCTGTTCCCAAATCACAGGGAGGAGTATTAAGCGTAGGTGGACAAACATATGCACTGAAGGAATTTACTATTTTCTGAAGGGAACAATGCATACGGTCGCTGTAATACATGGCCAAATTAAGTTCCGTGTGAATGATACAGGTCAAGTTAAGGTAAATGCCATACGAGTGCTTGGTAGGAGGGAGTGAAAAAGAGAGCTACCAATCTAAAGGACATAGTCTATTTAATTTAGTCCAAGCTGGTAGTATCATTTTTTAATTTCTTAAGTAGGAAGGGAGAAACCACTCTCAAATTTAGCCTCATTTCACTAGCGTACGCAAGTGGAAATCTTCTAAAACATCCACAGGATGGTGACACAGTAGGTGTCTGGGAGCTTGCCTGCTGGGGCTGGTGCCCTAGCTCTGACCCCATGAAGCAAGAGCAACCAGGACCAACCCTTCATAGGTTTATAACTGCTTGTCGTTCTCCTGTAGAACAGAGATTCCTGCTGACTCAATACTGGGGTTAATTTTCATACTCGTAGCAGACGTCTCTGTTTTACTTGTCCACATTCATTCCCCAGGCTGATTTAAATTTAATTGAACAATTCATGTATAATCATCAAAATAAAAATACTATTAACTGAGCCCCAGGAGGCTGACCTAACTCAACTCTAGGCACGGGCTGTCACCTTCTGGTTAAGTTCAGCCATAGGGAAACTTCAGCAGGAAGAGAGGAGTGTGAACCCTTGCCTTTGGGCTCATCTTGGGCTGTTTGCATCTATCAACAGAAGGACATAAGCTACTCTTAAGGGAGCCCTCTCCACATGGCTCTTCTGGGATCTAGTTCCCTTCTCAGACCCCGCTTTCAATAAAGCTATGGGGTGGATGGATATGATTTGAAATTACTTCTTTGAAAGAAATTCCATCTGTATTTTCAGGTCCTACCAAACATTTTCCTGTTGTCATTGTCAATCATATTCTGAAAGATGTGTTAACTAACTACCTACAAGAAGAAAAATATGAACCAGAGCTCTGTAGACAGATGACTAAAACGATTTCTGAGGTATGCGTGTGATTTCCCAAAGTGTTAACTATGATGAGAATATTTGTTGAAAGCACAACCCCCTACTTTTTGATGAAGGCAATTAATTTGCAGTAGCAGTAAAACTGCTTATTTTTATTTTATAAAAATATTTATTAGGTCATATTCTATGTGTGTCTGTGTGTGTGTAAAAAGCCTTTGTCTAATACAATTATTATGTGCATCACTTGCATGTATTCTGTTTAAGAAATATATAAAACTGCCCCATTTATTTAAAAATTTTTATTGTAAAAAATACACTTTAATAATCATTTTTTCTTCCCCAAGGCACCTTCTTTGTATGCCATCAAATGCAAACATTGTGGCCTTTAAATACCTTTCTATTTTTATCAAGTAAAATGCTGGCACCCCATCAGGTTTTCTCTACTTTCTTTTTTATTACAAACTCTCTAATAAGCATTCACGATTAGTCATATTACAGGAGACTCCAGCTGTATGGTCCCTTAATTAGACATGAACAAGAGGGTATAACTCAAATGCCAACATTCTTTGAAGGGAAGCCATCTCAACATAGATTTTCAAAGAATGTAATAAATCCATTAAACTCTATTCTCTGGATTATCATTTTTCCATGTGCCTTAGAAAATGTAGATTTCTTGCTTGGGCTATCATTTTGTCCCTAAATGTCCTGTCTTGTGAAGCCAGTGCTTGAAGGAAATTATAGCTACCATTCTACAACAGTTAAAAGGATCCAAGGGCTTCCCTGGTGGCACAGTGGTTGAGTGTCCGCCTGCCAATGCAGGGCACATGGGTTCGTGCCCCGGTCTGGGAAGATCCAACATGCCGCGGAGCGGCTGGGCCCGTGAGCCATGGCCACTGAGCCTGCGCGTCCAGAGCCTGTGCTCCGCAACGGGAGAGGCCACAACAGTGAGAGGCCCGCGTACCACAAAAAAAAAAAAAAAAAAAAAGGATCCAAAATGTATCATGCTGTTTTCTTCAATTAAATCCACTATATTTATGAGGAAAATTAAGACTCTTACATTTCAATGTGACTAAGTGAGGATTTTTTTTTGCTTTTAATTTCTAGGTTATTAAAGCCCAGGTCAAGGACTTGATGATTCCACGATATAAGCTAATTGTGATGGTTCACATTGGACAACTGACTGGCCAGAGCATACTGATTGGAAGCAGATGCCTCTGGGATCCTAAAAATGATACCTTTGCATCTTACATTTTCAGAAATTCTTCTCTGTTTGCTCTTGCAAATGTCTACACAGTTTACTTTGAGTGACTGAAAACAAGAAATCTAGTTCATACTTTTTAAATCAAGAAATAGGCTGTATCTTTGTACACAAGTTTCACTGCCCAGACGTTTGAGAAAGACACAACACGAATATTTCAAACAATTGGAAGTTTGGGGACTTTTTCATACTCTTGTAAGTATGAAAGAGTATACTTACTCTTTGGAGGAGAGAAGGTGACACAAGAAAGAATCTTGTTTATCCAAAGAAGGAACTAAGTCTTGGTTCTGCTGGATTGTTTTTTCATAGACATAGATTCTTATTAAATATTGCCTTGGGTACTAATTATTTTAATTACACTTTAATTAGAGAGTTAGAATTCCCTGCATTATTTTTTTAATGAAGAGAAGTCTTAATAAATATGGCTATATACCCTGACCAATAAATGACGGTAGCATATTCAATGTGGTATACACAAATGATCAATGGTACTCTGTCTCAGTGCTGTGTATAAAAGAATACTGGTTTTCATTTTGTATTTAATAAGTTAAGCAGCCTTCATTAACTGCAATTATTGTTATATGTACCTGACAGTTGAAACTGCTAATGTAGAATTAATGATTTCATAACAATTATCGTAGTCCCACAGGACTGCTAGCTAAAACTAGAAGCTCTTGTGGGTTGCCTGCACTTTACAAAATTGTGGGAGAACCAAATATTAGCTCTTCAATAATGGAAACAACAAAATGAAAATAGGCTTTTTAGGGCACTGAAGTAGAGGTTGCGATATTAAATATACATGATGCTTAATAGTAAGTGTATCTTTAACATAAAATCGTGCATTGGAAAGAGACACTGCTTTTAAATATACACTGCCTGATACACCTTTCAATAGGTTTCCTAGGCTAACAGACTTTTACACAAAATATATAGCTGGCAGCTTAACAGATAAAACGTGTATTTACTATTTTGTTCCTATGAATTTAATACTAAAGTGACCCAGTGTGGTTTTGAATGGATGGCACTAAAATTTACAGGGCTGCAATAGCTTATTATTCTGTGGGTTAATGTAGCTTATAACATGGATCATTTATTTTTATGGAGCTTTCAGCCCTTTGTGTGCATGTAAAATGGTGCTGTGACATTGTTCTTGGATGGTAAGTGGTCTGCCTAGAGGACATCTGTTAAAGGTCAAAGATGAAGTGTACACATATGGAGAAAATTAGCAACTCTATAGTCCTAAGGAAAAAATGATGTGTAATTCATATCAAAACGAATTTAACAAATGGGAAAATAGTCAGTGCTTTATAATCATGTACTGATGTCTTATTTTTCCCTCAAGATGACGTGTACTTTTTTTTTAAGTATACTTTTTAAATCCCTTTTCTTCTCTTTGTTCTGGCTTTTAAGGTAGCGTTTCAAAATGAATTAGTCAATTTTCATTGTTTTTTTTGTTAGTGCCTTAGTGGGAATATGTCTGTGTAATAATTTATCACAACCAAGATTTGTCGATCTTCATAGCCAGTGTTGAATCTGGATTAGATCATAAGTACAGTACATAAATGAGTTTTATATATTCACTATACATTTATGAACATCCCTCCTCTTAGAACAATAGCAGGGGAAATCATATGGCAATTTTGCATGAATAAATCAGTATGAAGGAAATTTTTTAGTATGTAGAAAGTCCATTATAAAAATGTCCTTATTTTTTAGAGTTATAAAATCTCAACCATGAGATAGTTTCTTACCATCTGTCTTAGGCTGTATAAGGATTCAAAACCTTACAATACGATGGCAGTTAAAAATCAGAAAAAGGAAGCGGTTTGCCAGCATATTGCTGTGTACTGTAATTCAGGTAGTCAATGATGAATTCTAGCAATTAAATAACAGCATAAAAATATATAGTAAAAACTTACTAATTGTAACTAACTTGGAGGAATGCTGATTATTTAAAAAAGCTTTGTGATGGGAAATTTTGATAGATATATTAGCTAACACCTATTCCAACCAATAAATGTATCAAATTAACATGCTGTATACCTTAAAATTATACACTGTTCTGTCAATTATATCTCAATTTTAAAATAAACATTTTTTAAAAAAAGAAATGACACTAAATTTGAGGGAATTGTTTTACTTTGAAATCCACTGAACTCTCCTGGTGTTTTTTCTTCTCAATAGATGTTCCTAAAGTGCCATCCCTACCTCATAGCCTTGACTCATGCTTGTGCCTAGCTCAGAACACCCTCCTTCCACTTAGAGCAGCTTCCTTCAATTTTCAGCATTAAACTCAGGTGTCACCTTTTCTCTAAATCTTTCTCCATTCATTTCTTCCCTCCCATCCTCTCTCTTCTTTCATCACTCTCATGGCTGAGCCCCTGATTCTTCTCTAGCTGAGTTTTGAATAATAGCTTTGTTTCCCTTACTAGATTGAAAATATCTTGAGTATATGGACCACATATCCTGACAACACCTAAGAATAAAATGTAATACATCTTAACTTTTCAAGAAAGAATCGCAAGCATTGATAGTACTATGCTACATAATTACCAACCAAAAAGGTAATAGGACACAGAGTTCAACCCTAGAAGACCTAGGATCCTATAGGGGTGATAAGTATACAAGTGACCATGGTACAGGCTAGAATATGTTTTCATAAGAAAAGTCCAGAATATCTTTATATAATTAAGGGAATCAGGGAAGGCTTCATGAAGGAAGAAGCACTTATCTATACTATGAAGGTGACAAGTAGAATTTCAACAGACACAGAAGTTCAGAATACAGGAAGAAGTCTAGACTGGATAAAACACAGTGTTCATGAATGAAGATAAGTGGTTGGAACTAAGATTGGTAACTTGAATGTCTGAGTATGAAAATGACACTCAGACCATGGGTAGCCATCAAAGGCTTTTCATTAGCCTGATTGTATACATGAACTGACTCTTTAAGAAGATGAATGCATCAGTAAAGAGCAGGAAGACCACTTAGGAGAAGTGACAGGTAATGAGGGGCTGAACTCAGCGGTGCCATTGAAATGGAAAGGAGAAGACAGTTGTATGAACATTTTAGGGACAAAGTCTACATAATCAGGCAAAGAGGAAGGAGTCAGAGGTAATTAAGGCAAAGTGAAAAGGTGGTTGAAAGTTTCAAGCTCTGATGTTTGCAGCCTCAGGTCTGAGTCCTTCCATCCCAGTCACTAGTTAAGTGATCTTAAATAAATCAACAACCCCACTATGCTGCAGCTTCCCCATCTTAAAGTACGGTAATGATAGTTCTGGTACCTACCTCACAGGGTTTTGGTGAGAATTAAATCCATATGTTAGCTAAGCTCTTCACAGCACCATGCCTAAAAGGAAGCCCTATGATTGCAGCTCCTATGATTGCAGTTCAAAGTCTGAGTCCGAGTAACCAGATCAATGGTCCTCCTAGCAAAAATAAAGTCAGCAGGAAGAATTTGAAGACTAAAATACTAAGCTTGATTTTGCACTTGTTGAATTTAAGTTAATAATGGGACATTCAGTTGGAGATTGCCTCAAGCAGCTGAAAAAGTGGGACTGGAGCTAAGTTACAACATCAAGGTGAGAAATTTAAACTTGACAGACATCCAAATTGAGACCTAATATCTTCCTCCTGCTTTATAAAATATTCATTAGCAGCAGCTTCAGCAAGTATAGTCAGTACTAGTAGCAAATTACTGAAAATTCAGTTAACTCTAGGAATGTCAGCAGGAAACCTTCACCAAAATCAATAGAGAAATTTTTCCCAAAATCAAAATTAAATGATACCTTCTTTCTTTCCTTCATTAAAAAAAAAAATACTATATGATGGGCTTCTGTTGTCAGACACCACAAGAAATATAAGGTTCAGTCCTAAATACATCAGCACCTTAAATAGAAGGGTCAATTAGAAAACACATAATAAAAGGCCCTTACAGATTACCTGTCGGGAAATTGAGCTATCTCAGCTCATTGATTCTTTAGAAACTCTTGGGAATTATCCAGTACATGGGTGGGTTTACAAAACAGTTGAGAAATCAGAACTTTTAAATCTAGCCATTTTAGAGAGTGAACACTTTCCTTTTGGGATCATGACTTGACCTATCTTTCTAGATATTATCAAAAAATGAATTAAGAAAACTCAATATTAAATAGTATTGATAATTTACTGTGCTTTTTGCTCCTGAAATTCTTAAATAAGTGGCCTGCCCCACGGCCTCTGACTTTCTCTGCTGCTCTCACTTCCACCTCCTGCAATCCAGATCTCAGCCCCACCAATATGTTGCTTTCACAAACACTGGAAGTGGTGCCTGGGGCCAAATGTGCCAAACATTCCTCCAGCTGCATTCCACCTCAGTTCTCTTCTGAATTCATTTCTTTTGAGCAGCAATGTGATATAGGTTTGACTGTTTGCTTGTTTGTTTGTTTTAAATTGCAGATTTGACAGACGTATATCTCATTTTAGCTTCTAGACCTTACTAGCAGTGTGACTTTGGGCAAAGTGACTAGTGTCTGCAGCCTCAGTTTTCTCAAAAGTAAAAATGATTGTAACATTGATTGCTACTTATAACTGATCAATGATCAGTGATCACTACTTCTGTTGTTGCTGTGAAGACTGAAAGGGAAAGTGTATGTAAAACATCTGACCCATCGTGGAAAGCTCCCTCTCCACCTCCAACTTCTTTATGCAGAACCTGTTTTCCTAAAGAATTGAGCATATATTTTAGCAATTTCTGCTCTCCACTATACTCCCTAGATTATTTTTTTTTCTTTTAAAAGTTTTAATCACCTGTTTCTGCCTTCTTTGAGTCAGAAACACTGAATTATTTCTCAAGTCCACATTTATGATTAAATACCATTCATCCCCAAATTTAATCTCTTTTTGCTAACCTCTGCCTATTTTTTTATACTTCTTCTGATCAGATGTCTTGCCTCCCACTTTAGGACTTACGTAGTTCCTTTTAATATTTTTGCTTACTCTACTTATCTACTTATTTTTTCCTGGCTTAGTGTCCATTTGAATTTACATGTTCTCTTCCCCTCTTCGCATACATGAACACATACTACCAGAAGGTTTATTAAAGCTTAACTATGCTAAGTGTCTGACTAAAGTTTCCTGAAATTTCTTCTCAGTTTCTTTCCTTGCTAATTTAACTACCATGCACAATTTTTTATATTTTTATTTTAGCGCAGGACATAACTGGAAACTTGTGGTTCTCTACCCACCCACTAGG